CGACGGCTGTGGAACTCGGCCTTGTAACTACATGTACCTACATTCCTCGTCTCTTTATGTAAGACTTAGCGAGGGGTTTTTGAAAAACAAACGTACTCCATCTATGCGCGGTGTTTACAGCCCTAGCCCGGCCAGGATGTCTGCAAAATAACGGATACCCACATTCAATCTCCTTCCGACTGGGACTGTGCGTTTCTGTCAACATGCTTCCTGACAGTCAAGAGATCAGAGGATGAAATTGTCACTAGCCTATTCACCAAATATCTGATCTAAATAATCGTTTAAATTGGACTTTTTGTCGGAGCAGGGACAAATAAGTGATGTGGGAGCCAGATGCCCCTGTTGGGTGGCTCTCTAAAATGCGAGCGTATCAACTTAGGAGTTCAGGTTGCCAGTTGAAGTGAGATCGCCCAACTGCGTATCTAATACCCTAACAGATCCAGGAGTCAACTCATCCTCGGCGGCGGAACTTATCACCATCGTTAGAGTATATTCTCGCTAAAACCTTACGAATTTATATCATTTGCATAATGTATTTGACCCAGTTGTGAAACCTTCGGTGGCTTCTGTGGAATTCAAACCAACGCCAATAAAAGGAGGGATTTAGTACAGCCAACGGTCTAGTCAACTGAACTACGCGGTCCCGAGCGGGAGCCGCGAGTTTCATCAGCCTCGGGCCAATATACCCACACAACCTACTGCAACGTATGGAACCCACCGATTGGATCCAATGAATTACTAAAATCTGTCAAAACTCCTTAAATAATTAAGCCTGCTTGGTAGTCATCTGACGGATCCTGGATTGATTTCTTGGGAAATCCTGCCTGGGCAGTCAGCCTACTGTATCCTTATTGGTGGATTCCATACGTTGCAGTAGGCTGGGCGGGTAAATTGACCCCGGGGTGATTAAACTCACGGCTCCCGATAGGAGCCTGGCAGTTAGAGCGTTTTCTGTACTTGACCCTCCCCCCCTGCTGGTGCGGGTTCGAATCTCACCGAGTCTAAAGTTTTTCATGATGGGATCAAATTAATTATTTACCTCTGCCAAAATCTCCCTATTACTTACTGGTATAAGAATCAACAATAGCTATGAAAAGAAAAATGCAGTGGACTATGCAAATGTCAAAACTAACTGTTCACGGGACCCATCTGCAAATAAAAACCTCTGCAGGAGGAATGACGGGGGAAGTCCCAGAGTTTGACTGTTATTTCTGAATTGTTCTTCACACGCCCGCGCATGAATTCAACTAAGACTGTGGGTGTTTAACCGTCACCTAGACAACCTTGCTATTTTTGTAATTCGCCATAGGCTCTGTCTTTTTGATTAGTCTTGGTGCATCCTGAATGAAGTT